GTGTGTGTGTGTGTGTGTGTGGTGTGTGTGTGTGTGTGTGTGGTGTGGTGTGTGTGTGTGTGTGGTGTGTGTGAGCTTGTTTGGATTTTAGGTGCCAAATTGGTTTCAGAGCCTCCTGCTTTGACATTGTTCTGCCTGGTGATTTGAAGCTCTGGCCCCTGCCTGCTGGGCTGTTGTAGGAGTTGCAGGCCACTCATCACTGTTGCCTTTATACTGCCATCCCCTTTCCTGCCTCGCTTGCTTTCAGGATGAGGCAATTTTTTAAAGTAGTAAAAAAAAAAAAAAAGGCCACCCAGTGAAGGCTGTACCCCCCAGGTTTGATTCAGAAAGCTTTTATTCGAGTTAATGACAGTTTATTCTTTCAAAACAATATATTCAACTATTACAGAGTTCACTATTGTTCCATAATGTCATATGAGGTAATCTAATGCTGGTGGGTGATCTGCAGAGGCAGAGACTGGGCGAGTTTGGGGCTATTTGTATGTCTGAGGTAATGTTTGCATTTTAATAAGCAAGCAGATTCTTTGGTTTTAACTCTTTTGCATAAATATACAGGGTATAATTTATGCTTTACAATACAAATATCTATTCCTCTTTTTCAAATCAAAGAATTTCTATTTTTTTTTTCATAATAACCTCAGAGTTAGCAACTTATTTTCATATGTAAAACACTTACTAGGAAATGGAAGAAAACTAGAAAGTAGCAATGTGGCCATGACAGAACACAGAGGCAAATTGTTGATTTCATGTACGTTACTAAGATTCCAATGAATTAAATAAGCCCTACACATTTCTTACTTAGAATTCAACCACTCATTTTTTTTAAATGAAGCTGACTGTTTTATATCATTCTATAGGAATGAAGCATTCGCAAGAGAAATGCAATATTGTTTTTATGTCAAAGTTACAAAAATATCCTATTCACTTTGAGTGGATGAATAGATGCATATACACACACAACACTGTTTGTGACTGACCTGCCATTTTTGTTCCTGACCTTGGATATAACATAAGGGGTTGTCTTACAGCCTAAGAAAGGACCGTCCTTGTTACCACCCGGGAAGGTCCAGCTTATACAGCACAGATGCTTACGTGACACTGAGCAGCTTTGTTGGGTGTTTGGAGAGTGGGTGTTAAGAACAGAAGGCAAGTGAAGTGGATGTGGATTTATTAAAGAGCCTGGAGCTGGGTGAGGGGGTGCATGCCTGTAGTCCTAACACCAGGAGGCAGAGCTGGGTGAGGGGGTGCATGCCTGTAGTCCTAACACCA